GCGGCCGTGCGACGAGCCGCCGTGGTCAGACGTTCTTGTAGCGCCGGGCGTGGACAAGGTCGTTTTCGACCAGCGCATGCTCGGACTGAGACTTCGTCGCGGGGGCAACTCCGAGGAAAAGAACAGCAGCCCTGATCACCAACGCCTCAGAGATCATCGAGCAGTTCGTCGACCTCAGGGGCCCGAACAAGCGCGGCCGCGCTCGCGTCGAGGGCCACGACGGCTTCGACGCCCACATTTGGCCGTGGAAGATGACCGAATGATTTGTCCAAGTTATTGTGGGCTTACGTCGCCGATTCAGGCGTCCGCGTCGTGCGAACTACAGCCGTGGGTGCCACGTGGGAACGGCAGCCTTCCTTCCCAGAAGTGGCCTTCGGATCCACTCCTGATCCGGAGCGGAATGGCCGCTGAGCACTCGCGCTGCGCGCGCAAAGGGTGCGAGCCATGCGTTCCAGAGATCTGGCCACGCGCCGATACCCTCACAGTATTCCTTCCTCCTGGAGCGCCCAGGCTGCCGCGATGGGATGGAAAGCGGCCGCCCTGCGCGCGGCCGCGAGTTCGGCAAGTGCAAGTTCGCGGACCCTCGCGCGCGGCCGCGGACTACTCGGGCGCGCGGGGTCAACCACCGGGCGAAGCTGATCCGGGAGCAGCAGACGAATATGCTCTGCTACCTGCGCCCGCATGGACATCGGGGGACAGTCATCGTCTAGCGCTGAGGCTCAGTGTTGCGCGTCTGGCGATTGTTTCTAGACCGCAGCGTTCTGGTTCCGGCGATTGCGTTGCCAGGCCAGAGTTGCGAGCCGGCCCGGTGACGACGCCAAGCCGGACAGCGCGACGAGCTGCCGTCGCAGTTTTTGGTGACCCAGCGCCTTCCGATTGGACTCGCTTCGTCGACGTCGCCGCGTCATTGCGGGCGCTGCGCGGAGAATCGCATGAAACGCGCAGTCGAGGGCTGCGCGAGGTGCGCCACCGGTGGCGGCACGCCGCCAAGGATGACGCGGCGCGAGCACCACGCGCAGATGCCATTCCCTAGTATACTTTCAACATCATCTCCACTTGTCAAGAGTTCCAAGAAGTCGCGTAAGTGGCAGCCACCAACACGCAAGACCATCCGCGCACTCCTTCCTTCAACGCCGTTCAATCAGCACGTCATGTGCGACGTAATGCATTTTACGGACCGCATGATCATGCATCTGATCTGCTGTGCATCGCGGTGGCGCAGCGGCCAAGAGGTCGTTTCGAATCATGATTCGAAGCTGCCTGCCGCCATCGGCCGTTCGTGGATTCCGCTGTTCAGCGCGACGGAGACGTTTATCGTGGACGACGAAGGCGGCATGACCTCAAAGCACTTCGTGGAGGGGGTGAAAAAAGGCGAGGAGCCCAGGTGGATATCAGAGCTCCACGACAGAGCGTTCGTTTCTTCGACGGACGCGGGGCCATTCTTAGACGCTCGCTTCACGCCGCAGAGGGGAAGCTGGAGCGCGAAGGTACCGCAGTTGACTTCGATGCAGAGCAAGCGCGGGAGCTCCTCGCGGGCAACGGCCTGGCCCACGTCAGCGGCGTTACACCGTGCAACGACGTCTTCGGAAGGGTGCCATCCATGCTGCCACCGCTATAGAAGCAGACGAAGCGGGCGAGGTATCTGGCGTTTATGACGCCCGCGCCGGCCCCTCTGCTGATGGGGAAATGCAGCCCCGCCGACTGCAGTGGCGAATCTGTGAGATAGCACTGCAGCGCATAATCGCGGCCACGTCCATCTCCCACGTCATCCGCGCCATCTGGACACGCGCCGCGTTGGCGACATTGCGGAATTCACAGGCCCCCGAGCGCGATGGACGCGTCAGGCTGAGCGGGCCTTGGGACCCCCATGTCTTTCGACCCGGCTCGGGGCGAGGTGGCGGCCATCAGCAGCGCCGCAACGGGCACTCACTAACGGGCACTTCGGAAACTTGCCGAAAATGCTTCTTTAGGGCCTTTCTCTGGCATTGCAGCGTTGCCCGCGCCGTGGGGGGTTCGGTTAGCTTGGCCACTGGCCAAAGCACCCTTTGGTGGAGTCCCCATTAGGATGGCGCTGAGGCCAAGTGCCGCCGAGCCGACATGGTCTGCATGCTGCAGGGTGTCTGGCCCTCCATCGGCGCTCGACGACATGGGCGCCGGTTCAGTTCGATCTGTCCTGGCCTGGGGCCGAGGGAGGGGCCTCCTGGATCATCGTGCCAGGATCCGGCACCGGGACCTTCGGCCATTGGGGGGAAGCGAGGGGCGCGCAGACTACCGCGCAGACGCGGCAACGCCCAAACATGCTCGAAGCCCTGCGCCACGTGTCCCGCACATGTTTCCAGCTACGAGACATCCGTGCCATACGTCTGCTGCGCGGCCAGAAATCTGCGGGTGACTGGCCGGGCCGCGCCCGCGGCCGAGTCATTTGGATGACCACTCATGCAGAGTCGAGGCGATATACAGCACATTCACTCCTACGGCGTCATGTTCGGCACCCATGTCCTCGCCAGCGAGCACTTGGAGGAGGCCCACATAATCCAGTTCAAGTTGGGTGGCGATGTCTATGACTATGTCGGCTATGCCCGAGGAGACCGGCAGCGACGTCTCTGGCCACGTCCAACAGGCGATGTTGGCAGCTAGGCGTGAGTTCGAAGGGCCAGAAGATCGAGCCAAGGAGCTGTAGGGCCTGGAGAGCGACGACAACCAGCCGGAGATCTACGCTGCTGTCGAGCACGCCGCGGCCGGACTTGGCCGCGGGCCACGCGAGTGGCCCCAGCGCCTCGAGACGCAGCGCCAGCGCCAGGGCATCTACGCGCAGCGCCACCACAAACTGCGCGGCGTTGCCCTCGACGACAACGGCACGCTAAGAGGAGGAGAGCGAAGGGGGAAGACATGTGGAGTTGCTCCTCGACCCAGGGGTGCGCGAAGCAATCCTGCACATCGACGAGGAAGCGCCCGGCAACTTCGTTGCCGGCAGTTCCCGGACAGCCGTTCTTGACGTCTATGCCGGCGCCGGGGCCGCGGCGCTCAAGCGCGACGCCGACCTCCTGGCCAACGGGGAAGTGTCGAGGCCGTCAGAGGAGGTGGCAGCAGCCATCCTCGAGGAGCTCGCCACCTGCGTCAAGTGCCAGCGCTTCGAGAGGCGACCGCTCAAGGGCGCCCGAGACGTCATGGACTCCAGGCGCATCATGTGGGGGCGCCGGAAGAGGCCCGACGGCAAGACCGGGAAGATCATCCGGCGCCGCCGCGACACGGAGTCCTAGGCGCGTCCGGTGGGGCACCCAAGCGCGCGTCACAGCGCGCGCTGACTTCGGTGGCGGCGCGTCGCCTGAACTGGGTTTACGTCGCCGCGGACGTCGAGGCGGCCTTCCTGCGGGGCATGACCTATGCGGTGATGCTGGAGCAAGGAGAAGCACCGCGCGAGGTCAATCTCACCCTGCCGTTTAGTGGTGTAGCCATCCGCAGGCAGGTGCCAGGCTACGAGTCCTTCGACGAGTGGACGGAGCGCCTGCGTTGCATCATGCCGTCCACGGGCCACAAAGACATTCCGACTCCGAGCCTTCTTAAGAGTGCTCGCGCGGGTCGTGCGCGCACCAAAGTGCAACACTAAATCTAGCAGGTGCGACCCAGGGCTCGAGGTCAAGCGCGAGGCGTCTGTTCACTGTGTTACAGGTGACCCGAAGTCTGTGTTCATGCTGTCTACGCGCTGTGACGGCTTGAAGATCGCTGGACTCTAAGAGCACGCTGACCGGCTTATGGGCCATATCGAGAGCCTCTTCGGAAAGATCAAGGGCGACTAGGGCCTAGGATGACTGCGCGACGTGCGGGGTGCACGGGCATCGTGGCGCCGACGGCGCAGCGACGCTCGACAAAGACGAGTAGATCGACGCCCTGATACCGATCAGACAAGTGGACCTGGTCAAGGAGAAGGCCGTCGAGCGGACCGGAGGTCAGTTCCAGACCTCTTCGTCTCCTCGCTGGGAGCCGCAGCGCACGCTCTGCTGACTCAGCGCCACGTCGCCGCGTACACTGAGGCGCAGCAGAGGGCCAAGAGCACGCTGCTCGTGCGCCACGTCACGCAGGTCAACTGATTGGTTTTGGCCACGCAGAAGATTAAGGCGCGCATCACTTTTCTGTTGTGGAATGCGCTGGCCAGCATTGCGCTGCGCGCACAGCGACAGGTCCTTTAAGCGGGAGGGGGAGATTGGATGCTGCATGAGGAACCTTGTGCATGCGTTTAGGCAAGTGCCGCAAAGCGGGCAAGAAGGTGCGCCCCCTGCTCGTCGCCGTGAGCCGCTCACCCAAGTAGTGTGCAGGTCTTCGTTTGTATCAGCGCTGCTGGCAGCCTGCTGAGCAGCGGGCGGGCTGCCAGCCTACCTCCTGACGCACCACGAGATAATCCGTGGACGAACCATAGTTGACGATATCAGGAAGCTGGGATCGGGGGGAGGCCAGGCAGTGCCTGCAAGCCTTGTTGTGGACTGTATGTCCGTCATCGCGGCACTGCCAGTGGACCCTGTTCGACCGCCTTCGGAGAACAGCATGGTCGGCCAACTCTGGTGGCTACCCGACCAATCTCGCACCCAGCAGATCGTGGACACGCCTGGTGCGACACGCGAGACATGAGGTCTGATCCCATGACGAAGGGGAGAACCGGCCAAGAACTCATTCGCGACATCACGAACGGGAAGCTCAGCGATGACCGCAAGCTGAGCGACGGTCGGCTCAAGAAGACCGCGCCTGGTTACCGTCACAGCAGTCTCACTATGGACATGGGCGACCAAAGTGACTACGTAAACCAATTGCTCGTCCAACATTATGCACAACGGTGGCCTGTGTTTGCATGGCCATGTTATCGCACTTCACGGCCCCAGCGACGGCAGAGATGGGCACATAAACACGCATCTCGCGAATTATGTTCGCGAGCGCGGCATAGCAAGGCGTGGAAGTGAGTGGTGTGTTGCCACGCAATTTGTCCGTGGAGTAGCATGTGAAAAGACAAGTGAGCACGCATGTGAGTCAGTCTTGCTCCCTAGAACTGTATGGCGCCAGTATCTTCTTAAATAGTGTTTCGTTGGTCGGCATGTGCCTTGCACGTGCTATCCGGCGCGGCACACCAGGCTCGTTCGAGTTCCAGATTCGAGCGGTTGGTTTCCTATACTCCGCCTTGTTGTCGGCCTTGCTGCCGCCGCTTGTGGCCCATAAGGTGGCCACCTTGCGTGCTTGTATTAGACGCGTACTGTACCGCTTTAGTCACCATTTCGCGCAGGAGCATCCGTTTTCGTCGCACATGTCATGTCATAGTTTCTTCCTCCTCCTCGTTTTCCCTCTCCTCCGCCTCTTCCTCGTCGTCGTCGTCGTCCTCCTCCTCCTCATGTGTCCCCTTCCTCCTTTTCCTCCTCGTCCTCCCTCCCTGTTCATCATATTTTTCTTTCTCCTCCTACACCTTTGTTTCTTTCTCCCTCCTCCATCGCTATCGCTATCGCTCGTGTGGCCAAGACAGTGCATTGTTTTCCAACAGATGGTCGGGGGTGCTTCGTCATTGCACCCAGCAGGCAATACCCCCCCCGCCCCCTGCCGTCCCTGTCAACATTCAGTGCAAAGTGATCGCGGGGTGTCCGCGCATGATGTAGACGCTGCTGCAACTGGCACATTGTATTTTTGTTCAGAGATGGTGGTGGGGGTCGGCATCGCACACAGCAGGCAATATAAAGGCACCCCGCCGTCCCTGTCAAAAACCGATGGTAATTGATCGCGGGACGTCCGCGCATGATCCAGATTTTAGTGCATTGTGTTTTGCTCACATGTTTAACCCAGGGATAGTGGGGGGGGGCGGCATGGTCCCTGGCTTGTCGACGGTCGGGTGAGGAAAAAAATGCACCTGAATGAAGCACGGTGGTCAACCCGTCCCCGAATGGGAAGATGTCTCCGTAAACCACTCACGCCCTCAAGGGTTGGTGGGATTCTGCTGGGCCCGAGGACGCGTCGAGAGAGTTGAGGCTCAGAGGCCTGGGGCGATGTTGTTTCATTCCTCCCTTTCATCTCCACCTTCCAAGGGGCAGCGCCAGGGGGGAATCTGCTCAGGCGGGGGCGCATCGACCCCCAATCGCTCTCCGATTGCCGAAAGGGGCCCGAAGGCCTGGCCCGGGGAACGTGCGGATTCGCTAATTAGGGGTCCTATCGCAGATGTTTTAGCGATATATCGCCGACTCCGGGTCGATGTTTCCCCCCCCCCCCTTTCCTCCTCTTCCGCTGGGGCGGGGGCCAGGCCGCAAGATGCCTGCCGCGGGGCGGTCGGCTGCGCCGCAACGTTCGGCCGAGCCAGGCCTCCCTGTAGCCGTCAAGCTTGCGGGTGGAGATACCTGCCCGCTGGCCCCCCGCTTCCATGAAGCAGTAGCCAAGCGGCTTGGTCTGCCTACAGGCCCACCAAAGAATTTTCTACCGAACCTCTTGTGGTTCTTGTGGTTTTCTGAACGTTATAAGTTTTTTCCCGGAAAGGGCTCCGGCCCAGGGTTCTCTTTTAGTTGGTAAACCTGTCCCCCGGTGCCAACTTGAAGGAGGCCGGCGGATTTTTTCCCTGATAAATATCGAGGTCGAAGGAGGCCGGCAGATTAAAATTTGAGGATGTCTCGAGCGAAACGCTTGTTTTTCAGAATTTGTTGAGGATGTCTCGAGCGAGACGCTGGTTTTGCAGAGTTGGGGATGTCTCGAGCGAAACGCTTGTTTTTCAGAATTTGTTGAGGATGTCTCGAGCGAAACGCTGGTTTTGCAGAGCCGACCGCGACGCGGAAAAGCGCCCCGCGCGAAATTCGAGGATGTCTCGACTAATTCGTTTGTTTTTGTACGATTTCCTGAATTTTGGCAGGATGTCTCGAGCGAAATGCACGACCCCACCCTAGCACGACCATACCCCACACGACCACACCCCAGCACGACACACCCAGCACGACCCCACCCCAGCCCGACCCCCCCCCACACGACCATACCCCAGCACGACCACACCCCAGCACGACCAGACCCCAGCACGACCCTACCCCAGCAAGACCACACCCCAGCACGACCACACCCCAGCACGACCTCACCACAGCACGACCACCCCCAGCACGACCACGCCCCAGCGACCACGCCCCAGCACGACCACGCCCCAGCACGACCACGCCCCAGCACGACCACCCCCCGAGCACGACCACCCCCCAGCACGACCACCCCCAGCACACACACCCCAGCACGACCACACCAGCAACGACCACACCCCACACGACCACACCCCATCACACCACACCCAGCACCCACGTGGAAGGTTTCGTGGCGTGTCTGGTTGAGGGTTTCCTGTCGTGGGGTGCGTCTCGTGGAATGTTTCGTGAGTGTGTCTTGTGGAATGTTTCGTGAGGTGTCTCGTGGGATGTTTCGCGGGGTGTCTCGTGGGATGTTTCGTGAGATGTCGCCCAGTTGGGTATCGTGAAAACGTGACCATGCTGCACATGTCTTTATCCCTTTCCGGGTTCGTGGGTCCACCATGTTGGTTCTCGTGGTAGGCCTATAGGAGTTCCGGGACGGTCGATTCCTGCTCCATACCAGTTCGCAGCAAATGATGGATAACCACTGAGCGGCAGGGTCTATCGCAATAGTCACCGATCCTCTTACGCGATCTGGCCGCCGCCACGGTGTGGCAGCAATATAGTCGGCGCGCCAAATAATCTTGTTTGTATTAGTCGGCGCGTGGCCCTCGCCAATAAGCGGAGATGTCACAGTTTAGTTCAGCTGAGTCTCAGGCATGATGTGAGGTGCCACCTGACTCAGCGGCACATTTGCCCACGCGGCATTCCCCCCAAGCCAGTCACCTCCCAACGCTCCCCTCAAACTTGCCTTCCCCCCTCCTGTCCATGCCAGCCTGCTCTGAGACCCGCACAGAGTGCGCGAATTTCCTGGCCCCCGACCTGAGGTGGCGGGCCTGGTGATTTGGGCGAAGCTGGCGGACTGCACCAACACCAGTGTCGGAGCCTCAGCTGCCCTAAGACGCTCTTTTCAAAACGCGAGATGTGCTGTGTTCAAAACGTCTGTGTTGACACGCTGCTTGTCGGCTCTGTACGTCTTGACCCACGTTTTTGGCGAACGTATCGCGCAATACCTGCGCTTTCAGTTTAGGGGAGCTCCGTGCCAACACGCTAACGGGTTGCGTGGTGTGTATCGGTGCGGCTAAGGTTGGAGCGCATGGCAGCCTCCCGCGCCTTGCGGTTGAATTCAGATTGGTGGGTGCGCCACCTCACACCGACACCAGTGCGCATGGCAGCTTCCCCAATGCAGTTTTCTCCTCGCGAGCTGCGATTTTCGTCAGGACTGAAGCGCGCATTTCCAGCATACTGGAATGCTTTGCGGTAATGCTAAATGCTAGCGCCAGGCTGAGCGATATCTTGTTTATTATGTCTTTCTGGTGTGGAGTAGCAGTTCATCCAGTTGCCTGCGGCAAACGGCACCGCCGCGTTTGGGCAGCTGTGCAGCGTGACTGACTATGAGTGGGAGATACACATTGGAGCTTCTCAGTGGCCTCTTGCGGCCTCTCGGGAGGCATTGAGGTTCGTTTGGGAGGCCTTTGGTGGTCTGTAGGGGGACCTCGGGGTGACCTCTTGGGGTCTGTTAAGCCTCTCGGGTGCGTCTTGGGCGTCTCTGGGGATCTCTTGTGAGCCTCTTGAGAGCATGTTCGGGATCTTGGAGGCAATTCTTTAGGAAATGGCTGTCAAGGCCAGTTCGAATTCCCCCTCTGGGGGCCTTCTTTGGGCCCTCTTGGGGGCCGTCTTGAGGGATATCGGGCCGTCTAGAGGGCCTCCTGGGCAGTCTTTGGGCCTCCCGGGCCATCTTGGGGACCTCTTGGGTCCTTGCTGGGCGGTATTAGAGCCCTCTTGGGGTCCTTTTGGGTCGTCTTGGGATTTCGGAAGCCAGAAATAACCAGTATATGTTTGGAGGCCTTCCTGGCAATCCTGGGGCGATATTGGCTGTCTTCAGGCGGCTTTTGGTTGTTTGGTCTGTCTCGGGGCGTCCTGTTGTTGCTCTTTTGGCTGATTGGTGATGTGTGTTTAGCTTCCTGGGCTGTTTGTTTTGTACGTTTGTGTGGGTTTAATTTGTTGGATGATTTGGCCCGTTTTGGCCTCGCTGCGAGGGACCTGTTTTGACACCCTCGGGGCGGCCTCTTTTCTACCCTTTTTATGGCCTGTTGCCCAAGATGGCCCCGCTGGGCCCCAAGCTGGCCCCAAGTAGGCCCCACGATGCTCCCCACGATGGGCGACACCGTCCCAAATGAGGCGTTTCCAAAAGGGCCTTGCCTTCGGGGATCGAAGGAGCTGCCAATCTCTTTCCTCGGCAGAGGGCCGAGGAAGGCCGGCGGAAACTGGCGGAAGCAAAACGAGGGCAGCCCCGCCGGCGGACGCTTGTGGAGGGCCGGCGGAAGGCGGCGGAAGCAAAAGATGCGCCCCTAAGGGTTGGACACGAGTCTGGGCTCAGGATTTCCGGATTCGGCCAAGTATTGCCCAGTGTGGCCCCAGAAGTCCGACAGTGCTCCCGAGAGGTCCTTGGGGACTGCCCCAGAGCGGCCCGGAGGCCGTGCCGCGCCTGCCGTTCCTGTGGTCTTCGCAGCGCTTTGTCGCCGCGTGCCCAGACCAGCGCCTGCCCGAATCGTTTGTGGTCTGGGCTGCCCCCCGAAGTTGGAATCAATCGTCCTCTCGTCCTCCCCCCTCCTGCTCGTCCTTCCCTTCCTCCTCGACCTCCCTTGCTCCCTGCTCGTTCTCCCCTTTCCCTCCTGCTCCTCCTCCCTGCTCGTCCTCCCCTTCCCCACTGTCCTCCCCTTTCTCATCGTCCCTCCCTTCCCTTCCTCCTCGTCCTCCCCTTCCCGTCCCTGCTCCTCCTCCCCTTCCTTCCTCGCGTCTTCCTTGCTCGTCCTCCCCTTCCTCCTCGTCCTCCCCTTCCCCTCTCTCCTCTCCCCTCCCTCCTGTCCCGCTCCCCCCCACCACCACCACCCTCTCCCCCTCTCCCTTTCCCCTCTTCTCGTTCCTCCTCCTCCACCAATCCGCCCTCCTGCTCCTCCCCCGAAAGTGATTTGGGATTGAATGCCGACGGCCACCGCCAGACGACGGCGACGTTGCTTTCTGGGGCTGTGCGTCCGAATGATGCACCGAATTGTGGCCCGAAGTGGTGCCTGAAATGGTGCCCGAGTATTTGTCTAAGTTGCCGGCCGTCCATATGCGAGCCGGCTCGCATGCGGAACATCAACAAATGTCGACAATTCGGGCAAAGTTTCCGGGCACCAGTTCGGGCGGAGGTATAATGGTTTGACCTTGCGCGAGCCCCTAG